GGAGGAGATTGGATTTACACCCCGCCCTTCACTACCCGAAGGAGTCTCAGAGCCGCTTACAAACTCCTTTCCCTTCCCCTCCCCACCACAGGCACCCTGGGAGGCAGGTGGGGCTGAGAGAGCTCTTTCGAGGACTGCTCTTGGGAGAACAGCCCTGAGAGAACTTGGGACTGACCCAAGGTCACACCAGCAGCTGCATGTGGAGGAGAAGGAGGAGGAGATTGGATTTACACCCCACCCTTCACTACCTGAAGGAGTCTCAGAGCGGCTTACCGTCTCCTTTCCCTCCCCCTCCCCACAACAGGCACCCTGTGAGGTCTCTCAATACCAATCTTTCAAAAACAATAATGCTAGGATCTGTATTTAGTGGTATAAACGTGGAACGGAACGTTTGAGAATGCAGCTCTTAATATCAAATGGCAAAGTAATTGTTTTCGCAATTGTCTCTCAACACACATAATTTATTTAGAGGAGGAGGAGGAGGAGGAGGAGGAGATTGGATTTATACCCCGCCCTTCACTACCCAAAGGAGTTTCAGAGCGGCTTACAAACTCCTTTCCCTCCCCCTCCCCACATCAGACACCCTGGGAGGCAGGTGGGGCTGAGAGCTCTTTCGAAGACTGCTCCTGAAAGAACAGCTCTGGGGGAACTGTGACTGACAAAGAGGAGGAGGAGATTGGATTTATACCCCGCCCTTCACTCGGAGTCTCAGAGCGGCTGACGATCTCCTTTCCCTCCCCACAACAGACACCCTGTGAGCAATGCTCCCTCTAAGCTGTGGAGTCTTGTGAGCAAAAGTTCTACTTTGTGAGCTACTAGCATTAAAGTTGTGAGCGAGCCATTTGGCTACTGCATCAATTAGGTTGCTCTGGAGCCCTCCTTCCTGAACTGAGACAAAAAACGGTGAGATGGAGGCTAAAAAACTGTGAGCTAGCTCACACTAACTCAGCTTAGAGGGAGCACTGCCTGTTGAGGTCGTTGGGGCTGAGAGAGCTCTGAGAGAACTGCTCCGGAGAGAACAGCTCTGAGAGAAGTGGGGAATTAAACCCGGTTCTCCCAGACTACCGTCCACGCTCCTAACCACTACACCAAACTGGCTCTGACCACCAAAGAGGAAAGCTGAAAGGAAAACGTACCACAGAGATAGATGTATTCATATAGATTGACTGCCCACTTTAATTCTTCCATTTGCCCAATCTTTGTGCCCTTGTCAGCTCACTAATGTGAGAAAGCATGGGGAAGAAGAAGAAGAAGAAGAAGAAGAAGAAGAAGAAGAAGAAGAAGAAGAAGAAGAAGAAGAAGAAGAAGAAGAAGAAGA